AGTGACTGCTTTTTTAAGCTAGAATTGCTGTGAATTTGTGAAAAGCTTTCAAGAAACTAAAACACTGACTAGTTTAAGTAATGATGGGGGTTCAATACTGGCCATTAAAACTTTGTTATTTTCTATTATTGTGGAAACTATTGACTAAATATTTCCTAGTACTCCTACAGTCCCAGTTTCCCTAGAACAACACAGTACACAGTATGCGGTGGTCGGTCTAAGCCCGCAATATTCTTTATTGCAAAAAACCTCCCCTACATAACAACATGACCTTCCTCACCCTGTCCACTCTCTGAATAAGCCTAATGTACATTTGATATAATAAAATAAAATAAGACATTATTTCACAAAATGAGTTATGAACACGAACTTAGACCACAATAGTCTAACTAAAATCGCTTCATCCTTATATACACAGCTCCTATTTACATAATGTCACGTGCACACTAGTGCCCAGTCCTTACGTCGCCAAGGAAATTATTTCTCTCTCCACTCACACTCACTACGTTCGTAATCGTTACAAGAGAAATACATTTCCTAGTACTCCTACAGTCCCAGTTTCCCTAGAACAACACAGTACACAGTATGCGGTGGTCGGTCTAAGCCCGCAACCACAGTGCGAAAGCATAGGTAGCAGTTTCTTGTTTTTGTTCTTAATTTTGGTTGACATCTACAGTCCCAGTGCCTTAGAAACAGATACACGGGTTTGCTTGTTGTCCCTGATATAACCGTTGCGAGACGACTCAGATTTCCATCCTCCATGAGCTGAAATTAGCCTCTCAGGTATTCCTGCCTCCGACGCAGCTGATGCTCCTCCAGCTCTCAAACTATGTAGGCCAAATTTCTTCTCCTCTAATCCGATAGCTTTGAACATGCGAAGGACTTGGGACCTTGCTGAGGAGTAACGAAGCTTGTTGTGAGATAGCTTCTGATTACCTACCTGTATCTTAATTTCTTGAAAGAGGGGCCCTGTTGAAGTATTGGTCCTTGCAATGAACCTTTCCATCATTGAGACAGGACAATAAACAGATCCAGTACGGGCTATAGGAATCATACTACCCTTTCTGTATTGGTCATTCTTTCGCTTTCCTAGCATGATGTCCATGTGGGTGTCGTGGAATTGCATACCCTCCACCTGAATACCAGACAGATCGCTCCAACGGAGAAAACCTGCAAAACCAACTAAGATGATGACGACAGTCTGCAGATCTGCCAAGCTGGTTCCAAAATACCCGAACTGATCCACAATAGCCTGAACATGGCCCACCTTGAGATTCTCCTTCTTGACTGGTGGACGCCCCAACAGCCTTTTAGCTGCCTCACACACCTGAGGGACCCATGGGTGTTGACAAGGGTCAGGTTCCAATGCCTTCCGGTGGGCCCATGATATACCATAAGTAGCAGATAGGACTGGTGCTGGAGAACTGCCCTGACTCATAAGCTCGCTTAAATACAGCGCCACGTGAGCCCCATTAGCGGGCAATGCACACACACCATACATTTCAGCCCAGCCCTGCCATCTCTTAAAGCTCCTGTGATACTTATGAACAGTGGATGTGGCTCTATCAAGTATCAATACACTGGGTAGCTTCTTGGCAAGAGCTGCCAGGTGCGGCTCTTTGATGTTCCCTATATTACAGCTCAATAGCCCTGGAAAAGAAACAACAATAAAGACAGTGAGAACGAAAAGAAGCATAACATGTTATATAAATTAGAAATAGTAATAACTTCCCTTGATCCGGTCCTTTGGCAAACGACTCCAGGCTCAGTATTGCACTCGAGGCACCCTAACTGGCGTTCCAATTGCCGCTTTCCTCTAACAGGTTCAAGCATCTTGGCACATAAGGCTCCACGACCAACGTGGGAGAGCTTATAACAAGCTAACTACTAGGAATAAGGCCACATGAGCAGTAGTAAGAATACCTCCACAATGCTTGTGGGGAGCTCAGGCCACCATTACTAAATGCATAACGCATATTCTGAACATCTCCGCCGAATTCGAGGGAGTTCCGTCTTACTGGCAAACAATTCTTATGGCTAAAATTCTGCATGATGGCACTCCATGGCCAAACAAATCACCTTCTGCAGAACCTGGCAGGAATGTCTGAGCACTGATTGGGATGTCCATACAACCCACTATGAAGTCCTGAGTTGTACCATCGTCCCTAAAGAACAAGGGCCACCAGGGCGCTGATGGCCAGTGGGGAACAATCAATGTCCCTGACTCCTTGTTGTAAATCATGTGTCGCACGACGCGAGAAATTAAGTGCACAGGCGGTACTAGCCAGTTGTTTTCACCCCTCCAATCGAGAGTGAACGAGTCAACTCCCTCACTTCCTGGGCACAGCCACTTGGAACAAAAACGGGGAAGCTGGTTAGAATTCACACTTGCAAATCTATCCACAGTATGAGGTCCCCATATATCATCTAGCATTTTGAAGTAAACTGGGTTGAGCATCCAATCATCAGTCTCGATAACACGTGACCAATAGTCTGCTCTTTTATTCAGGTGTCTTGGGACCCATTCGGGGTAGAGTCGAATTCCATGGTGTCGACAAATAGCATAAATCCTAGTTGCTTCGTGCTGAAGGTGCTTCTTATTACTCCCGCTGCATAATATTGCCACTGTCCCCTGATTATCTGACCGGTGCTTGCACTCCTTGGCAGAAAGATATGGAGCAAAAGATTCCAGAACCAGCCTTACCGCCTTAAGCTCTCTATAGGTAGAGCTTTGCCTTCTGTCTTCCTCCACCCAGTCTCCACGTGCTACCAATTGTCCAAGTTGAACTGTATAACCACCCCAACCAGTACTGCTGGCATCAGAGTAGGATATAACATCTATACAAGGGGATGAATGCCACATTGGCTGACCCACAAGGTCAGAGAAGTTGTTGATCCAAAACTGGACTTCATTTAGTGAATCTTCTGACAAGCAGACTTTACAACTCAGAAAAGGCACACTATTCTGTAATGCATAGAGGCTCCTTGTGAATAGTCTTGCTACCGGCCCTAGTGCTAGTCCCATAGAAATAATTATACCTGTGGCCCTGGCAATTTCCCGTGCTGAAATGCAACAACGGCTTTCTTCAATGTTGTGGAGTATCATCATTAAATTACTTACCTTGGCTTGAGGGACTGAGAATATACCCTTTTGCAGGTCCACAGTAAAGCCAAGGAATTCACCTACCTGGTGGGGGTTAAAGTCACTTTTCTCCTCGCTGATCATGAGTCCACTCCGATTTAAGTCATCCTTGATGTTAACAGCTAGCTGTGAGGCACCCTGCTGAGAAGAAGCACATACAAACCCATCGTCCAGATACATGACCATACGTTTACCTTGGCTCCTCCTTCAAGTGACTGCTTTTTTAAGCTAGAATTGCTGTGAATTTGTGAAAAGCTTTCAAGAAACTAAAACACTGACTAGTTTAAGTAATGATGGGGGT